CTTTCGCGATACCTGCCGCTCCTCCGCCTAGCGCGCCAAGTGCTCCCAATATCGGTAGTAAAAGAGGTAAAAATCCACCAATTTTATTAGGTGTTTTTATAATACGCTTTTTTTTGCTCGCTTTCATTTTGCTTGCTTTTTTAACACCCATTCCCAATTTTCGCTTTCCTTTCATTACACCTGTTATGCCTAAAGCGGCTGTTTTTTCTCCAAACGAAGAGTCCTTTGCTTTAACCCTCTGCCAAGCTTTATCTTCTAAGATCTTGTCTGCTTCGTGTCTCTTTGTTAAATTGTTAGACTGAGAGTATGCTATATCGTGCTCTTTACAAGCAGCGTCTAAGGGATTTATACCTGGATCACCTCTATTTATTCTCTTCTGTAAATGAGTACCCGGTCCGCAGAATTGGTAACCAGGAATATGCAGTTCGATAGGAAGTTTGTTTATAAGTTTATTTACCAATCCTGAACCTTTCGCCCTGTTTCGATGTACAATCATGAGAGTGTTTGGAAATACTGTTTAAATATTTAGGAATTATGCTATAAATACTTTTGCAGGTTCTTGTTAATGCCTCAGTCGAAATGAAAGTTGTTAAGCAAGCCTTTTCTTTACCCGTAAAAAACCACGACGCAAGCTTGGTCCGCGAATTTCAAAAGCACGGCGATCTCTTTGGAGGTAGTTGCAAGAGGGCACTAATTGTAGGACCCTCAAATTCGGGTAAAACCAACGTCATGTTATCATTGCTCGAACATCCTAATGGAATTAGATTTGAAAACGTTTACTTATATTCCAAATCCCTGCAACAGCCAAAATACGTGTATTTGAGAGAACTGCTAAAGCCTTTACAAGAGATTGGCTTTTTTGAGTTTGAGATCGATGAGAATATCGTTTCTCCTCAGGAAATTAAACCCAATTCTGTTATAATATTTGATGATATTCCTTGTCACGACCAAAGTGTCATTAGAGATTATTTCACTCACGGTAGGCATAAAAACACCGATTGTTTCTTTATTTTTCAAGGATATTCTTCTATACTCAAGCGACTTATCAGGGAAAACGCCAACCTTCTGATTTTATTCAAGCAAGACATGATGAGTTTAAAGCATATATATAACGATCACTGTATGTTGGACATGTCATTTGAACAGTTTAGAAATATCTGTGTGTACTGCTGGAACGAACCTTATAATTTTCTTGTGATTGACAAAGATTGTGAGTTAGATAAGGGCAGATATAGGAAAAACTTCGATTCCTTCATTTATATATAATATCCCAAAATGGATAAACGCCTAGCGACGGAGCTAATAAAATCAAGAAACGCAGTTAGAGAAAAATATCAAAGGCTAAAACAAGCCGCAAGTGAATCCCAGACGCAACTCGAACAAACCTATAAACCGATAACTCAGCCTCTGCAGCAATTAATTTCATCAATAAATAAAACGGATATCAAACAAGAACCGTTTGAAGAAAAAGAAAATATTAAACATGAAGTGTTAACCTCGACGCCTACCAAAATAAAGGAGAAAAGAACCGGAAAAACCCCAATCTTACCTTCAGAATTGCCCTCATTTTTTGATACCTCCTTTCCGTCGATCCAACAACAAAGCAATGTTGTAGCTGAAAGTACGGGTCTTTCGGACAGCGATACTACGTTGGGAAATCTGTCAGATATTTTAGAACAAACTAAGCAAGCTATACAGGATTACGTCGACACTCCCGCTTACGAGCAATGGTTGAATGACTTTAATAAATTACCACGAACATACATTGATGACAGCGTAAAAGATACCCAACATATATTTGACCATAATTATGGTATCGTTCATGACATAGAAAACGATAAATTTTTTCTGGGCTTAACCCAAAAAGCTGTGGAAATTGTCGGTAAAGATGTGAAGGTACAAGGTATTACATACCCTGGGACTGTGGGTTTGTATGAGTTACTTTTCAAGAAGGTGCCGGTCGGTTTCAAATCGCAAGATCTAGATAATTATATGGATATACTGAAAAGAACAAACGCGTATCGGAGAAACCATGACCCTAATGGACAAGTGCAAGGAAATGCATCATATAAATATATAAATATAATTGGACCTTATTTACAGGAGCGAGGAATAACAAAAACAAAAAACCCGGTGAGACGACTAGCTGACGCATTTTCTAAAGTGCCTCCGCCTTATAGGACAATCAAAACTGGGACGGGGTTAACTTTAAAATCAAATAAAGAAAATACAGATTATATTTATTGGGATACTGTTAACGAGCTTGTCGATAGATTAAGACTGTTATTGGCATCTACTGCTGCGGGGCACACGGGACATGAGAACGAAATAGCTTCAATTATTGAAGAACTAAGAGAGGGAAAAGTTATCTTATAAAATAAGCACGACTGAGAGTTAGAAAATTATTTGAGTAACAACCGCTGTCATGACTATTAATAAATTTGGTACACACATTAATCACCACCTTAACGAGAAATACGATAATTCAATGAAGGAGTTGGAAAAACATTTATCCAAAATAGAAGAGCTTGAGAAGACATTAAAGAGCTATCAGGCAGATATCAATTCCCAACTTAATAAACTTTTGCCACAACAAAACCGATATACACAATGGGTGAACAAATACAATACGAGTTTGGACCAAATAAATCAGTTAGCGACAACAACTAATGAATGATTTAAAATGGTGTTTAATTCAAATTGACGGGCAATCGACAAAGTAATGAGCAGTGAGAAAGCACAACTCGTCCGAGAGCTGCACAATCCGGCACGCAGAAATTACGCGCGTCGCAGAACTATAATACGAGGGCTGGATGATTTGTGGCAAGCGGATTTGGCTCAGCTAGACCGATATGCGAAACAAAATAAAAACTTTAAATTCATACTAGTCGTGATCGATTGCTTTTCAAAATACGTGTGGTGTCGACCGTTAAAAACAAAAACCGGTGTTGAAGTTACCAAAGCGTTTACCCAAATTCTCAAAGAAGGACGCCGGCCGCAAAATCTGCAAACTGATCTCGGCAAAGAGTTTTATAATATCCATTTTAAAAAAATGACGGGTAGGTTTGACATAAATCACTACAGCACATATAGCAACGTGAAAGCTGCCGTAGCCGAGAGAGTTATACGTACTCTCAAGGAAAAATTATTTAGATATTTTTCGTTAAACGGCACCTACAAATGGATAGATGTTTTATCCTCTGTTGTCGAAAAATATAACAGTAACGTGCACAGGACCACCGGAATGAAACCTAAAGAAGTGAACAAAGATAACGCGCCTAGTTTGCTGAAATCAGCGTACAGTCACTTGAAAATTGTAGGACCATCTAAACTTAAACTGGACGACGTTGTAAGAATCAGCAAGACCAAGCACGTGTTTAGCAAAGGTTATACTCCCAACTGGACCACGGAATTGTTTAAAATCGTAAAAGTGCAGATTACAAATCCGGTAACTTATCTGTAGGAAGATATGAAGGGTAAGCCTGTAATGGGCGCTTTTTACCAGGAAGAATTGCAGAAAACCGTTAACCCTGACGTCTATCTCGTCGAAAAGGTGTTGCGCAAACGAGGAAATAAGGTTCTCGTGCGCTGGTTGGGCTTGGACAAGTCACATGATTCATGGATCGACACCGCGAATATCCTATAAATTTCTTCTATTATTTTTGATTTTGTGAGCGTCCGAGACAGACATGGAACAAATTGTGTTGCCGGATAATTTTTTAAATTTATTGCAAGAGAATGGTTTGATGGGTCCACCGCCTTCGCAGCCACCAACAGATATTCCAAAACGTAAGCGTACTGCTGCAAATTCACGAGTTAAGAAAATAAAAATTGAATCTCTACCGCAAGCACAAGGAGAATGGTTCGAGGCGTTCAAAGATGACAACGAAAAAAGGATAGTTTGTGAGGCGTTCAATTTGAAAAACAATTTGGAAAATCAGCTGATGCAATGTGAAGAAGGTATCCAGCAGCTCGAAACTCAGATAGCAGTTGTTCAGGCCGATCTCCAAATACTGCGCTTACGTGCGGAAGAATACAAAGCAAAAATCGGATATTTCCAAAATTTGGCTCCAGGACATATTGTATAAAAACGAAAAAATATTCAGTAACTGTATTTTGATATAAAAATAAAATCGCGTTAAAATATTTTTATTTTATTTCAAATGTTAGCCAGGACGCTTTTGGTCAGATTTAAATTAGGTCTAAAATATCTATGGAACAGCTCTCGAACAGGTCTAGGACAGCCTTAAACAGACCCAAAACCTCTACGGAACAGGTTTCTACAGGTCCGACACAGATATGGACCATTTTGCTTCTTTAAACAGGAATGTTTATTTCGCATTGCGATCGAACAATTATTTTTGGTGACGCAAAGTATAACATACTGACAAAATGAAATTACGGAGTGAGATTTTTTTTTTGCGTTTTTGTTCGCGTCGAAGGAAATGCGACGATAAACTCGATGTCGAAGGAAACGCATGCGGTAAGAATATCAAACGTTTTGATTAAACCATTTCTTGTGTCGCAGGAAAACACGTATGCCGTTCCTAAGCGGTCTAATATGAAAGTCTCGTTTAAAACATTTTTTTTTTGCGGCGAAGGCAGGCGACGCGATGATCTCACCAGCCAAAGTTTAGTTTAAACATTTCGCAAAGCGATGATGTCATGCATCCGCTGCCGCACACCGACGACGCGGCGGGCAATGATATCAGCCAGTTATCAAACGCGACGGCGGCGGTACGCCTGAGTCATCGCACACAATCGCGCTGCAATTTACATTCACGCCGCGACCAACGGTCGAGTTTCGAAGCGAAGCGGCCCCATACGACGACGGTTTGGTTAGGTTAGGTCGCTAACTACGACCAATTTTATCAGCGGGTCGCGTTATATTGCGGAATTCTCGCCAACACAAATCTTAATTATTCTGAAGGAACGTTCTCGAATGTAATTTTAAATTCATTACCCCAGAAAAATTGGCTTAATTAACAAGCGACCGCCGCCATAGTGAGACTTCATTCTTTGGATTTTTGTTTGTGTTTCACCACTTAAAAAAGGTAAGTGTCAAGTAGAGATCTGGAACAGTTGGAGAGTGAGACGCCTATTCCTCGCAGCAAATAAAAATGTTCACCTGCGAATATTGCAACCGCTCGTTCAGCCGTAAAGACCACCTGGCGAGGCACGGGGACTGTCGCGCAGCAGTACAAATTTGTGACGTTTGCGGCGGGATATACAAATCCGAGGGGGCTCTCCGACGCCATAAACGCGAGAAGCATGAGGTTTCCAAGGCGAAAAGACCCGCCGCCGCCCCTATTGCTGCAGACGAACCCAAGCGCCCGAGACTTGACCTACCGGAAGGTAAGGATTTTTGATTTTATATCCCAAACAATTCTCATATTGTATTTTATAGCTTCGACATCATCATCATCACCATCATCCACGCGCCATTGTACGCAGTGTAACTTGACCATTCCTGCAATGAGATGGCAAGGACACTTGCGTACTTTGGCTCACCGCCAAAAATGCAGCGTGGTGCAGGAGCCAGGAGTAGAAATGATACAGACCTCCTTCCGTAACCGCATAGTTACATACCGTCTGGCGTCCACCATTAACCCTACCGATGTTAAGGGCTTCTTGGACCACCTTAGGTCCAAAATCCTTACGTTGGTAGAGTCGAACGTCCGACGCTACGGCAACGTAAAAGTCGGTATGGAGCTATTCGGAAACTTCCTCTTGCAGACGAAGGAACAAGAGGAGGTCAAGTCCTTCAATACCAAATATCGGCTGGTGAGCGGAAACACCGATCTGGAGGAGCTATACGTCCAGTTCGTCGACATCTTGGCTACCAAAGCGTCCGAGTTTCAGGAAAGGGACAGCGGTATGATTCATAAAAATGTATATTTCCGAACTAATTTCTTTCTCTTTTTTACAGGCTGGGCGTTGGAGGAACTTCTCCATTTAGAAATAGGGATTAACAAGTACAATCCCCTAAGGGCGTCGTCCTATGTTAACCTGCCCAAGGAAATCGAAGCCAAAAAAGCTGTTTTGAACTTGCAAAATACGGACGAAAAATGCTTTATGTGGTCGATCTTGGCTGCTCTTCACCCAATTCACTGGACAAATAACGCTAACAGGGTCAGTAACTATGTAGAATTTCAGAACGAGCTGGATTTTACAGGTATCGATTTTCCCGTTAAACTTAAGGACATATCCACTTTTGAACAACTTAATGAAATTTCGGTCAATGTCTATGGCCTCGAGAGAGTCTATAACAAAGTCCGTAATGATGTTGAGGTCGTTGGTCCTTTGCATTTTACTGAATCTCGTAAAGAGAGACATGTAAACCTATTATTAATTAGTAATGACTATGGAGAAAATCATTATTGTTTAATAAGAAGTATGTCTCGGTTGGTTTCAAAACAATTAACTAAAAGGTCCTCTACAAAGTTTTTATGCGATGGGTGTTTGGTTTATTTTTATAACGAAGAAAAACTAAAGCGTCATAAAGAACACGACTGCACTCACATTTCCATCAAACTTCCGACCACCGAATTGCGCAAGGATAAATACGGTAAAGATGTTCCCGCGAATAAGCTGAAATTTGAAGAATTTGAAAAGAAATTAAAAGTTCCTTTTGTTGTGTACGCGGACTTTGAAACAGTCATGACTCCTTTACAGGTGGAAGGCGAACCGAATCCCGACAAATCGTTTACCGTCAAAACTCATATTCACGAGCCTTACTCTTTCGCCTACTATGTCAAATGTGACTTTGACGATTCCCAGTCTACTTTTAAACAGTACAGAGGTCGGGGCGCACACAAAATTTTCATTGAATGGTTGGAGAGCGACTGCAAAGCGCTCTACAACAAGTTCATGAAAACTTCCGTGCCCATGACCACTCTATCGTTTGAACAAGAGACCGGCTTTCGAAACGCTGTGGCTTGTCACATTTGCGAGAAGCCATTTAATGCAGAGGACGAAAAAGTAAGGGATCATTGTCATATGACGGGCGAATTTCGAGGTGCGGCTCACTTCACTTGCAACTTGAATTTCAAAGTTCCGCGGCACATCCCTGTCTTTTTTCACCATTTAGGTTTCGACAGTCATTTATTTGTAAAAGTTATGGCTGAAGAAGGGGAAAAGATCGATGTCATCGCCCAAAACAAGGAACGTTACATTTCCTTTACGAAACATGTCCTAGTCGATAACATTGAGTCGGAGAAAGGAGGCAAAGGGAAAAGGGTATTTTTAAAACTCCGATTTTTAGATTCATTTCGATTTATGGCATCCAGTTTGGACAGATTGAGTCGAAATTTGAACGATAGTCAGTGTCGGGAAGTCAAAAAATTTTTTAAAAATGAACAAGAATTTCAACTTATTCGACAGAAGGGCGTTTTTCCATATACGTATCTAGATTCTTTTTCAAAATTAGACGAAACCAAACTGCCATCGCACGAGGACTTTTATGACTCCATGCGAAAGAGCAACATAACCAGGGAGGATTACAAGCGTGCCTGGACTGTGTGGAATTTGTTCAAATGTAAAACTTTAGGCGAATATTCAGATATTTATTTAAAATCCGACGTTTTACTTTTAGCCGATATTTTTGAAAACTTCAGAGAGGTGTGTCTGAAAACGTACGGTCTGGACCCGAGTCAGTTTTATACGACACCGGGTCTATCATGGACGAGCGCCCTGAAGGCGACAAAGGTCGAACTGGACCTGTTGACCGACGTGGACATGATACACTTCTTGAAGCACGGTATCCGCGGAGGAGTCAGTCAGTGTAGTGTGAGAAAGGCCGCGGCTAATAATAAATTTTTACCTAATTACGACCCTTCCAAACCTATTTCTTACGTCATGTACTTGGACGCTACCAATTTATACGGGGCGGCCATGTCACAATACCTCCCAACGGGAAACTTCGAGTGGTTGGAGGAGGGCAACATTCAAAATTTAGATATTACGCGTATCCCCAACGATTCACCTAGGGGCTATATTTTCGAAGTAGATTTGGACTATCCGGAAGTGCTGCATGACGCACACAACGAACTGCCTTTTTGCCCGGAATCCATCGTTTCGCCAATCGCGAAAACCAAAATGAGAAAACTTATTCCAAATTTAAACAATAAACGTAATTATGTATTGCATTATAGGAATCTGCAACAGGCTTTAAGCAACGGTTTAAAGCTTGTTCGCATCCATCGCGTTCTTGTTTTCGATCAATCTCCCTGGCTAAAACAATACATAGACTTGAATACGGCGATGCGTAATACAGCTAAAAATAAGTTTGAAAAAGATTTTTTCAAACTTATGAATAACGCTGTGTTTGGAAAAACGATGGAAAATGTGGACAAAAGGGTGGACGTGCGGCTCGTTTCCCATTGGGAAAATATTGGGAAAAGGTTGGGGGCAGAAGCGTTAATCGCGAGACCTAATTTTAAAAATGTCGCCATATTTAGCGAAAATCTAGTAGCTCTCCAGATGGAAAGGACTAAAGTCGTATATGATAAGCCTATTTACGCCGGATTTTGCATTTTGGACATATCCAAGACTCTCATATACGACTTTTTTTACGGCTATCTAAAGGCTAAGTACGGCGACAAAGCCGTCTTACTCTACACCGATACCGACAGCCTCGTTGTCCAAATTTTTTGCGAAAATTTCTACGAAGATATGAAAGAAAATTTGGACAAATTCGATACTTCTAATTACTCGGAGAACAACCAACACGGCATTCCTGTAAACAAGTCCGTTCTTGGTAAAATGAAGGACGAGTACGCAGGACGGCCGTTGTGGGAATTCTTGGGTACGGGAGCGAAAGCTTATTGCGTAAATGTGGACGGCAACGAGTTGACCAAAAAGGCCAAGGGCGTTGCTGACTCGGTCAGCCAGCGCGAACTTAGTCTCGACGACTATAAGCGCGCTGTCCACGAGGAAGGCACGCTAATCTTGCGCCAAATGTCTTCGTTTCGCTCACATTTACATGATATGTACGTCGAACTGAAAAATAAGGTGGCGTTGTCTTACGCGGATGACAAACGACATCTTATACCCGGCTCAGAGTACACGCTAGCTTGGGGCCATCGAAATTTAGTTGGTTCAAAGGACAGCGGGAAAATCACTGATTGATCGACCACCAGATATTTCTTTTGGCAAACTAATATGTTACGATTCCTTTAGATGATTGTAGTTTATATTTGTGTTTAATTTATGTATCTATTTATGTCCATATATGCTATTTATATATGCATATCGTTCGAATATATTTATTAATATGTGTCTATCCTGATGGGGTTTTGTATATGATTAATAAAACAATTTGTTCGATATTAGTGTCATTAAACGTCTTTTTCCCTGTTGCATTTTATTTAATCCGCAAAAAAAAAAATGTTGTCAATAAATTATTATATTTTAAGCGACCTCGACGACCTTTTATTAGTTGAATTCTATTATCGTCGCCGCCGAAATCGTCGTCGGCTAGGCTCGGCTAGGCTCGACTAACGTAGCGCGCGGGGTTCGAGGTTCGAATCCCCCGACCGCGCGCGACACACCGGTCGCTTTTTTCACCTCGCGCAAAAATACGTCAAAACAAAAAGGCACTAACGCAAAAACTACCCCTAGCGGGGCGAAATTGCCAAAAAGGCACTAACGCGAAAACTACCCCCTACCCCCCATTCAGGGTGACATCTGGCGATCGAAACCTGAGCTCTTAATGGGTGGCGACATCTCTCGTAGAATGGTCAAACTATTTTTATTTTTTTTTTTTTCGGTTGCTTGGGAATCTGTAAATTTGCAATCACAAAATCTCCCCCGGGGGACGGGGTATGGTCAAGTCACGAATAATTACTACTATGGCCTTATATTTCAAACGCATGGCTCATCACCAAAATATTTCGACTTTCAAACAGATTTAGCCTTGGTCTATCGGTTAAGGCGTCTGACCTGAAATCAGACTCTCTATGGCAGTGTAGGTTCGAAACCTACCTACTGCAAACGACCATTGTTTTGCTTGAAATATAATTTTTGAAATTAGCAGCTCAGCCCAGAAAATTTTGTCAATTATGGGGATTGAGTGCATACATTTAAAACAATATAATGGCCTTATATTTCAAATGGCACATCACCAGAAATAGTTCTACTTTCAAACAGATTTAGCCTTGGTCTGTCGATTAAGGCGTCTGACTAGAAATCAGATTATCTATGGCAGCGTAGGTTCGAAATCTACCTACTGCAAACGGACATTGTTTTGTTTGAAATATATATTTTTTAATTAACAGCTCAGCCCAGAAATTTTTCCAAATATGGGGATTGAGTGCATAAATTTATAACAATATAATTCAAATGCATGGCACATCGCCCGAAATAGTTCTACTTTCAAACAGATTTCGCCCTGGTCTGTCGGTTAACGAATCTGACTAGATATCAGATTTTCTATGGCAGCATAGGTTCGAAATCTACCTACTGCAAACGAAAATTGTTTTGCTTGAAATATATATTTTTTAATCAACAGCTCAACCCAGAAATTTTTCTTAAATATGGAGATTGAGTGCATAAATTTATAAAAATATAATGGCCTTATATTTCAAACGCATGGCTCATCACCAAAATATTTCGAATTTCAAACAGATTTAGCCTTGGTCTATCGGTTAAGGCGTCTGACTTGAAATCAGACTCTCTATGGCAGTGTAGGTTCGAAAC